CCCCGAGCGGTTGGCCGCCCAGCCCAGCCTGGGGGCCAGCAAGGAGGAGGCTCCCGCTGGGCGCAGTGGTAGCGGCGGCGCCCGGGAGCCCCCGGAGGAGCGGAACCAGCAGCAGGATGACATCGAAGAGCTGGAGACCAAGGCCGTGGGCATGTCCAACGACGGCCGCTTTCTGAAGTTCGACATCGAGATCGGCCGGGGCTCCTTCAAGACCGTCTACAAAGGGCTGGACACCGAGACCACGGTGGAGGTCGCCTGGTGTGAACTGCAGGTAAAGCTCCGCCGGTGGTCGCTGGTGGCCAGGGGGGTGGGGGTGGGGGGATCCCCACCCCCGAGGGTGGCGCGCCTCGGCCACTATCTCCAGGGCCCCCTCACTGCTGGAGGGGACACAGGGTGCCGCGAGGGGAAGGTGGAGCAGGAGAGGCTGACTGGTGCCCAGAGGGGTTTGGGCCCAGGAAGGGGACGGTGAATGCCTTCTTCCCAACGTGCGCTCTCCTTGTGGCTGTTGTCATGTCTGGCAAGAAACATGAAGTTCGTGGGGAAGTTGGGGAGTGTCATGTCACCTCAGGCTTCGCAGAGAGGAGCTGCTGCTGGTGTGTTCGAGGCTGTTCCACTTGGGAGGTTAGGTGTATTTTTTAAACCAGGTGCTTAACAGCTATCTTCTCGAAAGACCTTCCTGGGTAGATGTCCTAGTTAGTTGTTGCACAGGCACTTAATATCAAAGCCTTATTTAATCCACACTTTCCTACTCCGAGCCTGTTGGAGACTTTGGGACCGGGAAAAGCACAATCAATGTTAGTGTTCCACCTCCTCAGCCTTCTGGTAGCTGGCAATGATCTGATAGGATTGCTGCAAACGACTGTTTTCAGCTACTGTTGGGGAATAGTAAAAGTGCCCGTACACAAGTGTGTCAGTGCTTTGAGAATTGGAATGTCACCATCATTGTCTTCCTTTTTTTAAAAAAAAATTCCTAAGCTCAACTTTCCCAAGAGTCCAAAGGAGTCGAAGTGTTTCCGTTTTTAACTTCTCAGGGAGGTTTTCCTGGTGTGTCATTCTGGTTGACAAAATATATCCTAGGTCCAAACAGCTGAATGGGGCCTGCTTCTTCTTGCTTGACCAGTAGTAGCAGCTTGGCTCTCCTCAGCAGGAAGTGAGCCTAGGGAGAAGGAGTGCTCCACTGAATGGGCAAGTCAGCTCCCACTCTACATGACAAATGCCATGCTGCTTGCCAAGAAATGGGCCCAGCTGAAATAAGGATGTGAAAGTAACCAACTGATCTAGCGACTTATTTTATCCATGAGCTAATGTGTTGACACTTAACCCTTTAATGTGAGCTGCTAAACAACCAAGGCCATGTCTAACATGAAAGAACACAGTTTGTGGAAGTAAACGTTAAAAACTTGACAGGTTTGTTAAGAACATAATACATTCTAAAGTGTTAGAGTTAATGATATATAGAACTTCCAAGGCATTGTGAAATAAAAACTACTCATTCATTTTATAGTCATTTTGAGTTGGGAAGATGGCAGACTTTTTGAAAAATTACTTGTTTAACTGTAACTTTTTCCCTGATCATCTGCCATATTCAGAAACTTAAGTCTGATTCTGGTGGCTGCTGATCCTGGAATTTAATTCATCTGTAAGGTCATATTTGAATAGGTACCTTTTCTTTTTTTTTTTTCAATTCCCTTTCATCTCTTATACAGAGTCTCCTAAAATTACACCTAAGTAAATGTTGGCCACTTTATGGGTTAATTTTGTTATTTTCAGTTGTTTCACTTTTAAGACTTTTCAGAATGTAACTAATATATTTTCCTTTGTCATCAGGGATTTTTTTTTGATACTTTATTATCTTGGAGTGAATTATACATAGGAAAAAACTCAATTTTGTCTAATGTCACACTAAGCTCTGACTAAACTTTTTTTTTTTTTTTCCTTAGAACTCGTGACTCTTGATTTTTAGTTATCTGTCTAAGGAAATTCTGATCTTGCAGAGTATTTTAAAACCAATTCAGGATTTGTCTATGGAGTCAAGTTTGTCCTAGCCTTATTGAGTGGTATCTGGTTTAATGAAAAAAATTTGTATATGTCATTTGGCCTGGCAACCACACCTTTTCAGTTTGGTTTCTAAAATGTGAACATCTTAGTCCAAGAATTCTTTGTAACAGTAATTGGGGCAGTATTTTTCCCCATGGTACTTACAGCTTCATAAAGTCTTTCAGCCTTTGCCTTTGGATAAAGAAGGACCAGTTTCAAAGGATTACGGAAGCAGTGGGAAGAAAGGCAAGCCCTTTTCACTAAATGTGTACTTCTGATATACATATGATATGCATATCCATATAAAATATAATGTTCATGTTCTAGACTGGAAACAGTATTGTGTTTACTTGCCGAGTTAATCTTGGTATATTAAAGGTAGAAGTTCTCAAACTGCTTATTTGATAAGAACTTGAAAATCAGAGAGCCAGGTATATGTCTTGCTTAGGTTTGTAAAACAATTTAAAACTGGTTAGTATTTAAGAGTGTGGAACATGTTAAAGTATAGAAGTCTAGCAGATGGCTAATAAGTAAGTCTCAAGGGAAACAATACTATTTTGGGGTGAAAATGAAGGCCAAATTTTTGGAGAAATCTAGTCCTATAACAGTAACAAATATCAGGCTTCTGTTTTGGTTATTGATTTTATCATTTCAAATGGTGAAATAAATGTGCTTTTTGGGTTGAGGGGATGGGTGAGGGTGGAGTGCAAATCAAACTCCTTTCTGCCCAGTTTATTTTTGAGTCACAGATTATTCAAATAAGTCACAGCTGTCTATTCAAATAAGCCTCAAGTCTCAATAAATACTACCAAGGTAATAGTTTGATACCACAGATCTAAAGGGATAACTGAACTGTTTGAAATAAGATGTAGATTTCTCTGGCTGGCTTTAGGCATATGGTGTGGCTTAATTTTAATTCTCATTTGCCTTGTACAGAAATGCTACTACTGGACTTTACCTTAGTGTAAACTGTTTGATTGGTAACTTATTTGAAATAATTACATGTTCCCTTTAAATCAGACAGAAAGGAGTTCTGGTGGCCTAGTGGGTTATGTATTGGGCTGTTAACTGCAAGGTCAGCAGTTCAAAGCCACCAGCGGCTCAAAAGGAGAAAGATGAGGCTTTCTACTCTAGCAAATAATTAGAGCATCAGAAACCCAAAGGGAGAGTTCTGCCCAGGCCTATAGGGTCACTCTGAGTTTCAGTCAAATCAGTTACAGTGAGTTTGGTTTTTTAGTTTTCAAATAGGGCAGAATAGAATTAGAGTTTAGTTAGGTAAGATTTGATTTAGAAGAATACATGTAGATTTTTTTGCTGTAAGAAATAACAGTGTGATCTAGGAATTGAGGATTAGGTTTAGGTTGACACCCCCCCCACCCCCCGCCCCGCCCAATCATACCGTTCCCACTTAGTGTCAGAGATTTTAATAATATTTTCATTTTCCTTTTATTTACCATTTTTTCTTGATCTTTAGTACCACAATTGTTCCCAATAAAAGAACTTGTGAAGAGTGGCTGTTTTTGAGTAAAGCAAATTAGGAATCGTTGTTGCCTCATGATAGTTAATCCTTATGGAAGAATTCCATAAGGATTGGGTTTTCTGGTAATTTTAAATTTTTTAGATAATGGTTATACCATATTCATAATTTCTGAAAATGTTAGCATGCCATGAAAAGATTCATTGCAGTTAATGGGTCTTTGCTGTGCCTGCCCTTAATTAAATATAAAACCAGTCTGACCTACGGAAATAGGTGATAGTAAGCATGACCCGAATTTATGTTTAAATAGAGCATCTCTTGTATGTAGTATATCATAGTAGTTAAAGAATTAGATTGCTTGCATTAATATCTTGGCTTGGCTACACCATTGTGTCATTTTGGGTGATTTGTGTGCCACAGTTTCCTTTCTAAAAATATGTGTAAAAGACATGCTTACTTTATATTGTTGTGAAAATTAAGTAAATTAATATATATATCACGTAGGGCAGAGCTTAACACATGTTAGCAATTAACTAAGGTGCTGTATCTTTTTAAGACATTCCTTTTGAGGGTATCCATGAAGATTTTTCTTTTTTTTTTTAATCTTGTTTCCAAAAGTTTACTATTGTTAACATTTCTTACAGGAACATTTAACTCTTGGACACGTTGTTACTGATAACTTCAACTTCCTTGGTTTTAACTGCCCTCTGCCTAACTTGCTAACTTGCTAACCTGTCACTTTTTCAAATGCCAATCTTTCTGAATGGTTTATTTCCAGGATTGCTAAGCTCTTTGTCTTGTCTCCTTTATCCCTTTTAGTGGATTCCATGTGTCACTCTTATAGTATTTCTCAAGTTGAATTGAAATCATTTACATACTGTGTGGAGTAAGTTTTTGAACAATTTGAACTCAAATTGGTTCTCAGTATACTTTAATAGATGTCAAAAGTTTTTTGTTTTTCTGTTACTAAGTTAGAAATAGTTGTAGCTCTTGATGTTTCATTCATATTCTTTGCACTCTTTTAGTGCAGAGCAGGTTAATTATGTACAACTATTTGTAGAGTTTGCCTACAGTTTAATAGAATATTATAACAAAGGTACTTTGGAAAAGCCATCTTGATAGACATAGATTGTCAATTTACTACAAGTTAATTGAATATTTTAAACTTTATTAAAGTTGGGCTTTTAGGCTATTTCTCATTTCTCAATTTAGGAATTTAATCAAATCCTTAAAAGGGTGGAGGAAGCAACTTTTTTAACTTTTTGTCTGAAGCTCTTCTTGAGGTTATTTATATTTGTAAGAGGTCTGTGCCTTTGAGAGGTAGCAGGCTTAATTTTGTTTATGGTTTTAAAAAAGATTGGCTATTGATAACTTTCTGCATGAAAGGAGAAATACCAGTAATTTCCTTGGTTTTATGCTTTCACTCAATTGATCATACAATATCTCCACCTTAACGTTTATTACAGTAGATACTCGAGTATACGCCAACCCAAATATAGCCGAGGCACCTAATTTTACCACAAAAAGTGCATTAAAAATGTGCTGGAAAAGCTTGACTTATATACGAGTATGTATGGTAATTTAGACTTCTTTTAGTGTTGTGATTTGAGTCTTGGTATGTATAAGATTGTCATGTTATTAAATAAATTATGCTTAATGGTAAAAATAAACAACAAAAAAACCTTAAGATAAATCTCTTAGCCATCACCTTTTAAGCTACCAAATAAAACTTGTCCCAGAATTAAAAATGATTTACT